CACATGAAACTGAATTTTCACAGGTTATGAGACAGCTAAGTTATATTCCCAGTTTTATCTGCCTAGACCCAAAGAAAGTCTCTTGTAGTAGGTGGAACTACTGATTTAAACACCTTGGATCTGACAGGGAATTCAGATCATTTTCTGACTGACTTTATAATTTTGGTATCACAGCATTGCCAAGGGACTAGAGGTTCTAAATTTCAAATCTTACGGAACATGAAGTCCCAGCCTCCTGTGTTTATTAAAGACCAGTTAATCTTTTGTAAAGGTTTTGAATCAGTACTCTTAATATCATGGGAAGTGATTACCCCCTCTATACTCACTCTAAACCACGCTGTCTCTCAAAAAGAAGTGCTACTGAAGTGCAAAGTCTAATAATTGTCACAGGTAGCAGATAGAACATTAAGTACGTCTTGACAAAGGATTAATAGCAGGGGTGCTGCACTGCAGGACTGAGGCAGGTAACCAAATGAGTAAATGTCAAATGAAGGATTATCCTCATTTGATGCTATTTCACACACCTCCTTTCTGCATAATCTCTCCCAGCTGAGACCTAAACCAGGTGTTTTCAAATGCACAAAGTAGAAGCTCTACCTGGTGTGCTAAAGGAGATCCACTATAAGCTGTCAGCAGGAGTGTCATCTCCTTTTCAAGTACTCAGCCAGTAGTCAGGATACAGCACTACACTGCCAGCTGACAATGGCAAAGCACCCGCCAAGCCAAGCTCTCTCTGGATTGCATTAAACTACTAGTATTTATTATTCAAACTACAGTAGTATCCATGTCAAAGACCAGAGCCCTTCTGTGCTTGGCTTTGTACAAACAGAGACCAAAATGTGGCTCTTTTCACCTGATTTCATCCTCAGCATCCCACAGTGCTCATACAGAGGATCCAATGCTGAAAAGCTGTGTGAAGCACAGGATGTACTCTTTCAGCCTCTTTTTTTAGCCAGTGCAAAGACCAGTGAGGTTCTGGAGACACTTTCTTAACACAAGCAGCACCTTTACAAAAATGAGTGTAAAAGAGCATTGAACCCACAAAATTAAACATAACAGAAGTAAACCTGCCCACATCTTCATGTGCTGACTTTTTATTTTGCTTTATAAGCTTTTAGTTATGTGACAGCACACCCCTTTTCCCCTCTGCATGATTCTTAACTCATTCAGTCCACAAGACACACGGTAGCCTTCAGCAAGAGGTCCTCTGGTATTTTTCTTCTCTGTGCCCAGAGTAATGCCCATAGGCCTTCCTTCCCTTGTATTTAAACCATCAGTGAATAAATAATTACTGACACCCTCCTGAGCTTCTCCACTGTGCTCATCACTGTATAATCTAATTGCTTCACAAAACATTAATGCTTTCAACCTCCCTCTGAGGTGAGGGGGAAGGATTCATTTTGCACAGGAATGTGAATCAAAGAAAGATGGAGGCAAAAAGTGTCACTCATTGAGGTCACCCAATTTCAGGCAAGAAGATCTGGGCTAGTAAACATGACACAGCATATGAAGTGTCCAAAACAGCTGTCAGTATCTTCAAGTCATAGCTGTGAGTAATTTGACTCAACTGAAGACTTAAGAGTGGTAGGCTGGGACTCCAGAAGACAAACTGAGCCTGGCAGACACTTTGGACTAACTCAGTTTGCCCAGTATCAGTCTGGAACTGTGATGCAGGAGCACACGAGGCCCTCCAGGGAGCAAACAACCAGGTACGAGGCTCCCTTCCCTTTCAGGCTGCCTGGAACAGGTGAGGCAGTGTCCTGTGGCCCTCACTGATCCACAGAGGATGTTCAGGATGTTCAGGCTGTGCACTGAAGAAGACAGGGGCCCTACAAAAACCGTGCAACCCTGAAGTTAAAGATGGTATCAGAGCACAATCACAAGGGGGCAGTACCTTCATTCTCCGAATGACTGACTTCTGAGTGCTTTATTTTGCAGCCTTTTCTCTCCGCTGCTGCAAGTCTACATTGTGCTATAGAAAGGCATCTCACACCAACTTGCTTAGCTTGTACAGCTTCTGGGGTGTCTCCTGTCTCCTCTAAAGACTACTTTATGTTTCACAAAACTGTTATGGCTGGACAGACAGCTGAGACTCCACAGGCTTCCCAAGGAGGTACCAGAGCTGCAGCTGCAGGGAAAGGTCCTCCTTCCCCTCTGTGGGCCCTGGACTGAGTGCTTCGTTTATTTAACACATGCTAATAGAAACCTCTTAAGGGCTTATCACTTGGCTGAATGGGACAATTTCTCAAGAACAGCAAAGATCACATCTACATCTTCTAGGCAACATTCCTGGCAAAGTTCAGCTTCCCAGTAAAAAAGGTAAGCAATAGCTCTTCTAGTTTGTACAGAAAAATCTCTTCTTCCCTAACTTCATTTGGATAAATTAATAACCTTGCTGATGTTTTTTGGAAATATTCAGCATTAGATAGGTATTTACCATGAAGAATGCTGCCAAGTGTAAACTATTTGGACTAAATTAAAAAAGATGGGAAACAATATCAAGAAGTAGAAGGATTGTGTAATGTTAAGTATAGTTAATGCTACTGATATTATAGGAAGTATAAATCCTTCCTGTCTTGCAATTCCATCTAGTGGCTTGCTGAATTGTACCATTTTCTTGCAGCAACTCTGATGACGTTAACCTGCAAGTTTCCAGAAGCTGGGATTTTACACCAGGAAATGTTTCTTTATAGACTTTGATCATGGTTGCTGACAGGATATTAAATGGGATGAACCTATGGTTTTATTCAATATAACAGTTCTTGTGCTGAATGCATTATTTGCAAGACAGTGGATAATAAATTAGGTTTTAGTGACAGTCCTGTTGGCATTTAGTCTTGGAATTTATTAAGGAAATTAAATGTGGTTTGTATTTAATACCTTACATCACTGTTTATTTTGGTTTATATAGACAGGTTCACACTGGAGAAGTTAAAAGGGTACCAACAGAGGTGAGCTGAAAAGCAGGAAGAAGAGCTGTCCCTTTCCTTCCTTTCAACTGAGAAGAATGGAGGTATACATTTCCAAATTTGCATGCTGAATAGACATACCCTTATAAAAATGGAAAAAAAAAAATCTTAATTCAAAATCATGTGAAATTCTGTATTATGCATTCCTGGGAAGTATGACCAAGAGGGGCTGAAAGCTTTGGTCAACCACAGGTTCAGCCACACAAGCATTGTTTTCTTCAGTGACACCAGTTCACAAGACTCACTTTGAAGGCTCCCTAGAATCCTTACTCAGTCTTTGCCCACAACTCTCTCCAGTTCCACAACTGTCTTCAACAAAACTATTCATCTGACTCCAGCTTTGTTTTGGAGAAGTGAAAGGAGAGAAGACTTATTCCACTGCAGAGACTATGCCAACTTTCATGCACTATTTTCTTTACCAAAGTCACAAGTTATGGGAAAGGAATTTAGTTATTAAGTGCCATCCCACCCTAATGACAGTGCAGATAGCACACCTCCACACAGTTACATGTATTTGACAGATGTGGTCCAACTGCTGACAGCCACTGACATAAATCGCATTCTTCATTAAGGGGCTTCATAATTGGGACCATGGCTCCATTGACTGCGAAGTTGTACTTCACAGAGCTATGACACTGTACCTGTGAACTACTACACAGCTACTCAAGTACATCAGAGCTACGAAGCATGACTGTTTACAAGTGCTTAAAAAGGAAAACACAGCACTTACAAAAATATCAATATTTACAGTGTTGTCACTCTCAGAGTTTATCAGGCTCATGATTTCTAACACACCACTTGTGTGCCCCCCATCTTCTCCAGGAGTGAAAATCCCCATAGCCTGTTTTCAAAGCTGTAAATGTGTCATTTTTGCCACAGAAGCATTTCAAGATTTCACAGAATATTCTGAGTTGGATGGGACCCACGATGCTCATCAAATCTGACTTTTTAAGTGAATAGCCCACACAAGGAGACAAACCCATTATCTTGGTAGTGTTTTTGAGCCTTGCCTAAAATGGGTGCCCCATCTCAAGAAACTGCTATAGGGACTTGCTCCTTTGCCTCACTGCAAATTGAAGGTGGAAGCTGCTGTTAAGCCAGGGCCCAGAAGCACTCTTTGAGGGTTATAACTGCAAGCCCAACATTTTCTGACACTTTGGAGAGGTGGGGGATTTTATTTTAGAATACCAAAGGAGCTTTTCTCAGTTAACATATAGCCATGCTACAAATACAAAAATGTTCTGCAGTTGCATCTCCATTTTTCCTGCTCCAGCTCTTAATTTTCTTCCACTCTTTTGTTTTCACACTATTCCTTTAGTGTCCTCGCCTTTGTGCCCTATTTTTCTTCCCTTCTCTGTACAACTTCTGTCCATCTCTTCATTTGCTACTCTGCTCTTCTGCCTCCAGAACAACCATTTCTGACTATTTTCTTGCACACACAAGTGAAGCAGCCAAGTCAAAATCACAGAATTTCTGATGACAGTACTTCCTTGGTGCCACAAAAAAAAGAGAAAAAAAATTAGCCAGAGAATGTCATATCTTTCAACACATGAAAAAAAAAAAAAAAATTGGAGATGAATACCCAAAAGTTAAAGCCAAACATTTGAATTGAACAGTACCATATTTCTCTTCTTTACTTTCTGATGATTGTAATGTAGGAACATTTCACTGTCCATCATATCTATAGCTAGAAGAACCCAAGTGAATTAAGTCACAAGCGTATCCTAGAGTTTCTTCTCTGAAAATGGATTCCTGGACTCAAAAACACACACTATTCCTACTGGTCAGACAAAAATATTATCTGCACTGGACAGTAATAGGCCAAAAAGTTCCTTCTGGTTACCTTTCTGAGCAAGAAAATAATATTTTATACTTTAAGTTCAGGTGAATACACATTATAGAAACTGCAAAATGCACGTATTCACAAAAAACCCCCACAAGTTACTTAAAGATGTGAGTATACGTTAACATTTGTGTGTGTGTGACACATAAATGAGAATACACAATTCATGTAGAAAATACAATTCTTACCTTATTGCACTTGCAGATAAGTGGCCATAAGAGCCACTGGCTGACGAACTGCTACGAGAATTATTGAGAATGGTGACCAAGGAGTTAGGAGATGTCCGTATCATGGTCTGAAGGTCAAAGCTGTGATCAGACAGGGGGGATATGGACAACGTACGCTTACGGCTCGGTCTAGCTGACAACCTCGGACTTGGAAACCTGGCACCTGTTATGGAAACAAAAATAATTACCCACCAGGGTACTTCATGGGATTTATTTGTTATCAGTGATGGGTAGAGGGAGACACCAGCACACTGTGACAAGTCCGCTCTCTTCATTTGTGATCTACTGGCTACGATTGAGGAAAATTAGGAAGAAAAATCTTTCTTCCTATGGCTTACCTCAGGGGAGCTCTGTTTATTAATGTGCAAGCAAAATGATAAATGGCTAAACAAAAGGAAAAGACTTTTATGAGTTATCCCTCTCATTTCTGGTGATTTATGAACCTGATGGCTTCTTAGACATTCACATCATTAATTCAACCATGAGCAATGAGACAATGGTTCAGGTGGGGGATACCAGCAAGCCCAAACCACAACACTTTAATACGTACAGCCAAACCTACACATGTCAAATACGATATAGAAATGAAGAGGCAGTCTTTCCTTTGTTGACCATAATTCTGCCAGGGGGATACTTGATGCAAAACTAAAAATCAGGCCTAAAACAAATACTAGAAGGGCCAGCTCTATCAGCAGAAATCAGATTGACATTCAGAGCATTCAAATGAGAACAGTAGGCTTTATTTGAATTTGTCCAAGATCCCATGATATTCTTTTGTTGAGGTGTATAGGGGCCTACAACTGCTAAATTTCTTTAAAACTGGAAAACAGACTTTTCAAAGCAGCAAAATTAAGGCAAACATACAGAAACCACTTAAATAAATACATATTACATTTCTAAATTTTATGTCCTGTCCTGAAAATCTCTACCTCTTCTGATCTATTTTACCATGTTATCCCAACTCTCTGCAGTCCTGACAGAAGATATATCACCTTAAATTTATTCCCTTTATTTAATTATTTTCCATCTTGGTTGAAAGCAAGGAGAGAATTAGCTTCCCCACTGCGTACTGAACAATTTCCTATAACAGTACTGCTGCTTCTACCCTTTTAATCCCTTTAACCTGTAGCAAAGGACTGAATCCTAATGATCCTGACAGCCAGGGTCATGCAGGTCTTGGGTTTGATGCCTACTTTACAGCTACTTCTCCTAGAGTCCCTGACATTCTCTGTAACTTTCTAATAATTCACAGTTGGCCACAAGCATCCAGTATAGATCTGTCTGTCTTTCCTATCTTTGTGTCCAGGACCAATTTTTTGCAGGGTAATTAAATTTACGTGTCTAACAATAACCAGAAGAAAAACCCAAATGACTCTAATTAGAATAATCTTAAAACCTGAGCTAGATTAGAATCTATTAGTATGCTTTCTTAAACACCTGAGTGGGTTCCCCTTCTTTCTGTGCATGCTAGCCAAGATTTTAATACAGTATCAAGGGCTGCCATTTTATTGCTGTTGTGACTGTGTGATCAGATCTTAATTTATAACCCTTCTCTTTGGCACCTGGGTAATACAGAGTTTTGTTCCTTCCTGCTCTGTCTCCAGAATAAGCCTTAGTCCATACAGCTCCAATCTTTCAATGAATCATCAAGGTCTTGATTCATCATTAAAAATTTAGGTACAGCCATTTATTTATTCGTAAAACCTACCACATGCTATTTTGTGTAATCTGTTTTATCTCCTTTTTAGGAGTTTGCTATTGTACTGTGTCTGATATTTTATTAGTCCTGTGCTTCATGTCTTTCAAAGGCAGAGATCTTTTTCTTGTGCTAAAATAAGAAACAACAACGAACGATCAGCAGCTACAATAAACTGCAATATATCTAACAAGGAAATACAACATACATGTCATGGTAAAACAAAAATAGTAGTAATTTGCACTTGCATCTTTCATCCACATCTCTTCTCTGCCGACTGCTCAGCTGGAATGAATTAAAACAATGCCTCTGGAGTTAGCGCTTCTAATGTAATTTACCCCAGATGAGGATACAATTCAAGTGTTTTATCATGGGTTTACAAGGGCATAGCTAAGTACAGACATGATATTCCCTGCAGTGCCCTGTATAGTCTCAAAAACTGCAGAGACGTCCCTCCTCCTCCTCCTCCTCCTCCTTCTTCTCCTTGCCCTTTCTGGACTGAACCTGTCTCCTTTACCCCCTGCCTAAATCATGCTATGGCTCTTGCATGTCTGCCCACTACTTGTTACACCTTCGCCTTGCCTGCCAGCTGCTGCCAGGGCATCCCTGTGTCTGCTCTGGACGCAGGAGATCTGTGGCCAGGGATGGAGAAAGACACTCCTTACAGCTGCCAGGGGCAGCACCAGCACTTGAGCCACACATACAGTAGTCTCAGCCTTCCTCTGTTCCTCCAGGCAGCACCTGTTTCAGGCCCCATCTAGCTCTGGGAATTCAGCAGTCCCCTCCATCTACCTAGGACAGGAACAATCTCCTAAGGGAGATTTTGCAATATCCTACAAAAAGGGAACATTTCTGCTTCAGCCAGGAAAGATCCCTATGGAGTTCAGACTCACAGGAGACAGGGATTCAATTCAAGGGGGGGGGACACAACTTAAAACTGAAAATACAATTGAATGGAATTACTGTTTTGCCAGAATTTCGTGGTTTAATTAGGTCTCACGTGCCTAAAAAGTCTTAAGCATGAGCTGGCCATTCAGTACAGGACATTTGCTTAACCATTTATTTAGCATAACATCAGTTTCAGTTAGTATGCTACTATGAGAAGGAACAGGTCACAATTTGTCAGTGCCTCTGAATACTAAACCAAACTTCCCAGCCTTGCCCAGCATTTATTTTAAAAACAAACACTTCGATATTTATTTATCAATTTGAGATGTTCATCTGCCCACAGTGCTCTCCCACTGAAGTATTACATTCCCTACTCAATAATGCTTTAAAATCAGAAAATGAAGGAGCACTGATTCACTAAAAATCCATTTACCTCTGTGGAAGTGCTGATGAAAAAAAACATCAGCTTTGGCAAAGCATGCAAATGGAAGCTGACAGTGAAGATTTGCTTGGAAATGTCACCCTTTTGGAGTAGACGTTATAGAAATAAAAAGTCAGTAGTAGACAGTAAAGACTTGAATGTGCCAACAAAAACTCCAGCAGGTGTCAGAAAAAAAGATCTTATTCTGAGGTGGAGATCAATTCTAAAATAACAGATATCTATCTCCATCATAAATTTCAAAAATGGAATATGCCATCCAGCAAATTTGCCCATGAATTTGATTTCTGAGTTGAAGTTTTTAGCATTGCTTAATCATTTATAAGGCAATCTTCAGACATGTATCATTTATTCCATCCCTTTAAATCAAACTTCATCAAACCTGTTTTATTCCCTTCCTTTAAATCAAACTTCTTTGAACACGTTTCAGGCACTAGTTTTTATTGAAGGGTGTGAACATGGGACATTTGTGGGGGGTGGGTTTAAAGTCAAAACTTTTTTTCTTTCTTCTCCTTCTGCCTTCTGTTTACAGAGGCGTAAAAACTTTGTTTTCACTGTATGAAAGTTTATCATAAATTCTGTCTTAGTTTTCAAAATGATAAATCTGTCATCAGTATGAGAGAAGAAGGAATGCCTTTGATACTCCACCCTCATTCCCCAACTGTGCTTGACAAACAGAAACCCAACCCAGTCCAAAGCTTCTCACTCCAGTTTAACTCTTTGGGCTGGTGTTTGGGTCTGGCTGAGATGATGTTCATTTTTTCCCACTGCAGCCCTCACAGTGCTGTGCTTTGCACTGGCATCTGGAAAGGAGTTTTGGCTGCTGCTGAGCAGTGCTGGCACAGCCCTGTCTTCCAGCATTCTCCCCCATTAGAAGGCCAGAAGTGGGCAAGATCCTGGGAGGGGACACAACCAGGCCAGCTGACCCAAACTGACCAAAGGGATATTCCAAACCACGTGATGTTAGTTCAGACATGAAGGCTAAGGAAAAGAGGGTGTGAGGGAGCATTCGTTATTCACAATGTTTGCCTTCTGGAGCAACTCCTCCCTGTGCTGGAGCCCTGCTTCCCAGGAAGTGGATGGATGTTGCCTGCTGGTGGAAAGTAGAGAATAAAAATTTTTGTTTTCTCTTTGCTTCTGCACATGCAATCTTTTACTTCTGCCTGAATAAACTGCCTTATCTCAACCTACGTGTTGCTTTCCATCTATTTTTCTCTCCCACATCCACTGAGAACAGGGAGTGACAGAGCGGTTTGGTGGGCATCTGGCATCCAGCCAAGGTCAATGCACCACAGCTGCCCAAACTCTTGAGGTCAGCTGGGTTACTAGAGTCTCTAATGCCAAAAGGAGTAGGTCAATACCAAATACCTTTGAAAAAGAGAAACCTCCTGTTCTAAGTGAGGACAGACAAAAGTAAATCAGAGTGAGGATATTAATAATTTGGAATCTTGAAACCTCACAGAACATGCTTGCGCTCCACTAAACCTCATTTAAGAGAGCAGAACATATTCCCCAAGTGAAAAATGCACCTATCAACCCAAAAGACAATGATTTTTAAAATTGTTATAGTGCTTAAAGATAGTTGTGGCATTCATTATCTTTACAGCCACAACAAGCAATTTCAGTTTTGCTGCTGTGGTGCTGTCAATACCTTCCACATCTATTCAGCTCCTGTTCTGATGCTACACTTACAGGTAACAAACTGGACTTTTTTAGAACAAGCAAGAAGATGGCAAGGCTTGCTCAGGGTCTCTGGCCACCAAAACTGTAGAAAAGCTTTATACTAGCAGAGAAAATTTTGGTCCAGTTTTCATGCTGCTCAGGACAGGATGAAGAAGAGTTACAATTAAGCAAGCATAATCTTGGAAGATTTAGCTTTATAATACATTGCAGAAGAATAAAGAATAAGCTTTATTATTCTGCAATTTGACAGCTCAAGGACAGTGAAGATGTCAGAGCTGCAAGAATTCTATTGCTCTTTGGATAAGATTTAACCTCTGATTAATAATTCTCCCACTCTTATAATCCCCATTTGAAATCAGTTTTCCAGCGCCACAGAGCAAAACAGAAGACCCCAAACGGCACATACTGTACACAATACACTTTGGAACTCAGTGCATGCTGCTGTTGGAATTATTATTTGCACTACAGGAGGGGGTAGAGATTCCAAATTTCTGTGCTAGATGCTGTCTAAGCACACAATTAGGAGACAGACTTGCTTCAAAAAAGAAGAACAATGTCTTGCTTGTATCTATTTGGTTGTTGTGCAGAATAAATGAGCAGCAGCCTTTCAGTCAGTTGAGTCAACTTGCTCAGAATTTGATAGCAGATAATGAGGGAAACTACTCATGTGTCTTCTGCTTCCTTTGACAAGACTGGCAAAGGCGAAACACTACTTTTAAGATCACCATATAAATCCTTAAGAAGAAAGATCCAAACAAATGGCATTGCTTCGCACTGATCGCTGTACTTTGTTATTAAATGCATACATGGGCATTCTTATTGGGGACTTTTTTAAAGTCTTAATATCAGCTTCCTGCTAATTGTTTTGTTCTTGTTTCTAATCTAAAAATCTGACAAAGAAGAAAGGGGTTTTCTTTAGCATGATGAATGATAGGACATTCAGATTCCTACTTAATGACAATTAATTTACTGTATACCCATGCAAGTTAAGATAGTTTTAATTAGTTTTTACAAAGTAAAAGGGTAACTTCATACTCTATTTAGATAAAAGCAGCTATTGCCTGACTAAACACATTCTCATCAAATACAGAAGGTGAGCTGAGTGACCTTACTAGGATTCACTCTTATTTTAATTCTCTATTTACTATTGAAAAATAACCCATTTGCATAATAGTGCAGTTTTTGTCTCTAACTCTGAAAAAATGCCTAATTGAAAAGTTGCTGGTATAATTAATCTCAAATGTGTGATCTTAATTTTTAAAAACAAACACAAAACAAATTAAAGTGTGCATTTCAAATCTATCCTAGCTAGAGCTGGTGAACACAAATATCTTTATTAAAGATGATGGTTAGGTACCTTTTATGAATGGACTGAAATTATGGGCAAAGGTCAAAATATTTACTGTTAAGTAAGAAGTGATAACATTCTTGGGATGTAAAAGATGCAATTCTATGTATATTATAGCATACACAATCTCTACTAACACATGGAGATCCTTCTGCAAATGCATTATTTGTATGAGTGCTGCAATGTCTTCTGTTTTTCTCTGGTTTTCTGGCATATATATGGGTATCTGCCTTTCTAAAGGCTGAATAAACCCATTAGATCAAATCTGCGTCCAAGAATGTGGTTTGGCACTGCTACTTACGTGCCTTCAGACACTGTCTAACAGTAGGAACCAAAACCCTTGAAAATTTAAAACAACCCTGCTCGTGACAAGTGAAGTTTGACTAGTTGACCTTTGAAGTTCACTTCCAACATAAACTGTTCTAGGATTCTATGATCCTTTGCAAGGAAGCCATGCCCAGTCACACAAGCTGGGGATCTGTCCTTGTGGTAGAACACAGCAGCAAATTTACATTACCTATTATTAACAGGCCTTCAGTGCATTAGCAGTCTGCCTCATCTCTCCCTATTCCTCTCCAAATCCAAGGAAACAGAATGAAAAAAGCTTTCCTGCACAGTTTCACAATTATCTGTCTTGCCTGATTATTATAAAAATTATTGGTCAGTCAAGTACATCACACTCCAAGGCATGTGTTCTGCAGGGATAGCTATATATATTCCTTTATTCCCATGTGTTCCAGAGGTAAACCTCCCAACACCCAGGCTCCCTGAGATTGCCAGCTATGGTGTGCAGCCAACAGCAGGAAGAAATTGCATGTGAACAAAAAGCTTAAAATTCTACAGGAAAACAAGGTTGTCAATACTATTGTATTGGTCTGTACTACCAAGCAAAAGTCAACATCACCACCTCTTCTTGCCACCATTTTTTACTGCCCTCATCAGAAGGAACAGAGTACATCCTGAAAAGCATGTAAGCATCTATGACTCGAGGGAATGCTCTGCATAATCCCTTCTGGTTGATCAGAAGAAGCAGTAGCAAGCAGTTTGCAAAGGGGTCCTCTCTTTTCCTCCTTCAACAGAGAAACAGAAACAGATTAGAGGACTGAAAGATGCTAAGTGGATAAGAAGGCTCTTAATATTATGGAAATATTATGGAAAACTAAGTCAGGATCCTTGAGAATCCAGCAAACTGCTTCACTACACAAGTGGTTGCTGGTCTATTGGTCTATGATACACAACTTGTAATTGCAGCTAGCACTCTCTGAGAGGTGCAGGGCACGCTCTCCTAGCAGAAAAACAGATGTAAACTTTCTGTTAACAGAGAGCTCATCAGGGAAATACTCAGACTAACTATGAAAGTGAGTTACTGATTGCAAATAGAAAAGGACATTTTCAAAAGCACTCAAGCCCTGCTAGAAGTAAAATTTATAACCTGTTTTCAGGAGCAGTCCTGCTCCTCTCCCTACTTTCTTTCCAAGTTTACTTTTAGGCTTGACATAACCCTTGTGCATTTGGCAATCAATTCTCTGGCCCTCTAGCCTCATGAGGAGGCTTATGTTGACTCCCACTTCTCTATCAGCACAGAGGCCTTTCGGGTCAGACCATGAACAATCCATGTGGTTCCCTTTGTAGGAACCTTTCTACATTTCTAGAAAATATCACTCACTATCCATGGCATGAAGATATTCCATATGAAGAGCCCCGGCGGCTCCTGCAGTGGCAGCTGAAGGAATGATGTCTGCATACGGGCTGCGCTGGCCTGCCAACAGAGCCATCTGATGATAATATTCAGCTGGACTGACGCCAGCATGTGGAGCTAGAAAAAACAACATAAAAGTACCATTAGTGACGTAAGATAAACAAGAAGGAAAGTTTTATCACATTGCCCGTTTCTCTGGCTATTAAAACAGACTGTTTATTTTTTAATGTAATGCAATGTCTGCAGTATGCCACCACTGGTCAGTATTTTTAACCAATGGTACTGTAAAGACACCATTCACTAAAACAGCTCGACATAAAATATTAATGAGCTTGGTGATCTCATATTTTTGTATTTATTATTAAGTGGCTCAAAAAGTGACAGGCTGACAGCAATGGAAACTAGTATGATTTATTTAGTGACATAAAAAAGCAGGAAAACCATCCTAGCATTTTATTCACATTTACCTCATCCCTGGCCCAAAGGAATTCGTCTCTAAGGTAACAGTGTGGCTGAACTTCCATAAGCATCAGGTATCTGGAGTCTCTACTTAGGGGGCTAGAAGATTCTCCCTCACCATGTCCCTCTGTGTCTTGTTTGCCTCTTGTTTGTGGAGCAAAGAGCATGATTCCAGGACAAATAATAACTGTCCACAGACAACACAGGGTCAGTTTTTTATGAGGACAGACTGTAGTCAATAAATGTGACCATCCCATCCTTCAAAGTTCAAGTATAAATATGCTTGACACACAAGCCTGTTTGCAGAGTCAAAACTACAGACTGAATAGATGCTACATCAGTGAGGTTATCATGATACAGTCTTCTGATAATGATTTGTATTAGCTGCTGTCTCATGTAATAATAACGTGAGAGCTTCCTGTTCCACTCCAATTTTCAACCAGGCCTTCAACTAATGGGAAACCCTGGCGAAATACAAAAATTGCCATCACTTTAAGATCACCTCCTCTCAGCAGGCTTCAGGTGCTACCGAAGGTAGAGGGCCATTTCACAAACTTGTTTAAGACATAAAATAAGCTGGGCTCCTTCTCCTTGATCCTGACCCTGACCTGCCATGAAACCTGAGGTGAACAGCCCTTCTCTCTGGTCTCTCCCTGTCCCACCTGCAAAACAGTTTACACTCTGGTCACCACAAGATGGTATGCAAGCTTGCCTAAAACACTTAGGGTTCCTTAGGTTAATGAGCTGCACCCCAAACTGGTATACCAGATCATTTTTATATTCTTTCATATAATTTGATTTCTTTAATCTCAGCAGTGGAATCTAGAATGAAAACAAAATTTTAGGCTGAAATTCTTTGAATATTGTTACCTCCACAGAGCTACTAAAAAGGTAATTTACGTTTTCATTAGAAAGGCTGATCCTAAATGTAAACCTTATAAACAAAGAATCAATATTTACACTTTTAATGTTCTTTTGAACATAAACAAGGCATTGGAATTTGGAGAAAAGTTTATTCAGTAAAAGATTGCTGAAGTGTATAACCTGCCTTTATTACTACCAAATAAAATGAAAGAATGTGCTTTTGATGTTAAAATGTTAAATATAACATATAAGAAAGGGTTTTGAAAAAGAGAAGTATGTCAAACAGGAATAGAAATGGCATAAAAATGAGCTGAGAAAAATGTAAAGTTGCTGGTATTTTTTCCAAATTACAAATTGATTTCACAATTAAACACCATCTTTCCACTTCCTGTGAAATGGTAAAGAAATTATTCAGACCAAATTTTCAAAGATGGGTAACTTACACTGAATCACTGATTTTAAAGTTTTACAGCAGTAGGCAACTGTGGTATATTTCCAGACAGACTGAAAATACTTCCTGAGCTTTCTGACATAAGTGTCTGGGTTAACTAATAATAACATTGGCTGCAAACTTTAAAATTAACTGCTGCAGAAAACATAGTGAACACATAACTGCATTACTAAATGTCCCATATGCCAAGAAATGCTCTGGTGCTCTTATAAGATTATTCCTTACTACCTCCCTCAAACATAAAAAATTAGCCTACTAAATGATGTATTGTGTGAAGGGTAAATGAAGGATAAACAGGAAGATCCACAACCCTGAATTTTTTCCTGTTTATTCCCGGGTAGTTTCAGCTTTTTTCCAGTTTTTCCATAAGCAGAGGCATTTGCTTCTGCACCGAGGCACAGCTGAGCTTCATTTGAGCACTGTCCTCTGCACACAGCAACAACTCCATCCTTACCCCTGCTCCAAATCCTCGGAAAAGTCCTCAGCCACCCCTGACCCACCAAATCTGCTGTCTAAGGAGAAGTGACAAGAGTTATGTTCCAGATTGTTTTGGCTCCTGGCCATCCCTAGATCTGTGAGCTGACAGACTGAGCCCAATAGTACACTGATGTAATTATCTAACTGTCCTAAAGCAATTAGGGTAGCAAGAGAAATCTCACTATGGCTTTCAGAAGAATGGTAAGAACTTACAAGTTTTCACAGCTCAAATGCTGTATCACTTAAGCCATGGTGTCCATCATGTTATTAGCATGTTATGTGCATGTACCCCTTTAAACCACAGGAGTGTTTCACTGGCATTCTAGAACAGCTCAAGCCATGATTCAGATTCTCTGATCCCAGGAACCCACATCCAAAAGAGGCATTTCATTGTATCCCTGATGGATCATACAACAGACTATGGATTCCAGGGAACAAACCTGCAGCTTTTCAACAACATGCTGTTTGATTGAGATATCTTCAATGCCTCAATCAAGTGACTATATTGTCATTGGATGCTGCACATCACCAGGGCTGTGGTAACTGATCAAAGATGAGCTGTGAGCCTACAGGAAGTGTGAAGTAATATGTATTTGTTTAAAACCTGAAGAGACATTCTTAAACTAATAAGTTTAGCATGCACTTATGACATATTAAGGCTGTGTATACAGTCAGGAGTCAAAGCTCAGGGGATGAGCATTAAGACAGACTGTATTCAGCTGTACTGTCCACACCTGAGTGTCTCATGCCATCTGAAAGCCTGGGAGTGTCCAAGCTACAAAGGCTGGCAGGAGAAAACTGTCTTTCTGAGGTGGCAGGTGGAGTTGAGGCAGGGTATTTCACAGTCCTGAACTGACACCAAGCACCTGCACTGTATGCAGATGAACCTTAGCACCTTCATAATTATGATGGAGCTCCAGACTCAGCCGCTAACACGCCAAGTGTCCGTTTGCTGGGGAACTGAATAGTTCCTTGAGGCTTCACTACCTACAACTCACTGGACTACAGTGGCAGAACAACACAGCAGGATCACACATTTCTGTACTGTAGACATCTACATTTAGGTGCCAGAATCTGAAACCAAATTCTACCCTGTGACTTCTGGAGTGTCAGTTGGGTGCTGGGTCAGAGAACGCTATGTGCCTACTTCTTTGCAAGTGAATTCAGGGTGGTACACCTGAGACCACAACTGTATACAGTTTAATGTAATAGGTGGTGATAGGTGGTTTCCTTCACACCTACCCTTGTGTGCCACTGGAACATACCTTAAGCATAAGTGAAATTCTGCAGGAATGGGACCAGAGGAGTATTGAAGATAGCGAGGTATTCTGCATATTGGCTCTTGTGAAAAAGCCTGAATGTACACTGCAAGAATTTTCCCAATATATGCCATTACATTATAGCTCTGTCATTTTTGTCCTGTATCTAAAGCTCCAAAGCACCTGAAGTCAAAACTTGTCTTTCTGACCACTCAAATTTATTTTTTTTCAAAGTGTTTTTTTTAATACCTCTGCTAAAACAAAAAGGGTAGAATTAGCAAGAATTCATGCAACACCCTAAGTGCTGCTAGGAAAGTCCTATGTGAATGCCATATACCTTGACTGACAATAGGTCATTAAAATTTATTCTCATAAGAATATGTGCCCATAACTAATGGATTAACTGTAAAGGTATATATTCTTATAAGCGAGGATTAATTAGTTATCCGTTTGGATAGGGTGCACTGCTCATTTTTCAAATTCAGCTAAAGGCAGTTTAACTCTGGTAAGTTTCTGAATTCACTGGGAAGATCTTTCCCATTGTTAAAGTACCAGTTTAATTACCTTTCTCTACACAGTTGATTCTGAATATGTGTATTTTGGTTCCCTTCAGCAAATGCTACAATTTTGAAATGTCAAACTGCTTATGTTTACCCACTATTGAAAAAATTAGAATTAACAAGACAGCCTTTTTTTTGCAACTCTGTTGATGGCTCACTTTGGTAAAACTCCCACTGAAATGAATAGGAAATGTGCTAGAGTAATGAAAAGACTGATCACAGGAGTGATCAGCCCAAATAGTCTGAAAAGTAAAAGCCATGGTCACACCAAGACCTAAAGCACTGAATTTCAAGTATACTGCCTCATTTAGATTAAAACGGACAATCTTGATCAACAGTCACTTCTACGTAAGCATCATTTCATTTGCCCATGTTGTTGTCTAGGATAAACTGAAATAATTCTACATAACTTTAATAAAACTATTGACTAAATGCAACTAGTCAGTGTATGTTTTATATGATTGAAAAATACTATTTCGATTAACAAGGCTTTTGTGCCTGAAGAATTCCATGGTTATACACCGACATGCACTCATGAAGAATCTGACTTGATTCAGTGTGGATACAATGGATTTTTGGGAGATCAGAATTACACCCCATGTCAGCCCCACAAACAAAAGATATCACAAGACATACACCACCCTTCCAGTATAAATTTTGAATGAGGCAGCTTTTTTTTTTTTTCTCCCTGAAGTTTCAACATTTGTGAGATGTACAAATGAGCCATGATCGGCTGATGAAGTATTGAAACATTTATGACATAATGAATATGTCTGACAAACCTGGTGAAGCTGCTTTGAACAAGGGGGAAAAATGTTGACAAGATTAATATAACTTAAGTTGCTACAATGACAGAAAACAGGAAGCCTGTCTTAACCCACCGTCTGTTGGGCTGAGTCCGCGGGCTGCCGAGATCATGGAGAGGGACGGGCTGCTGTGCAGGGACCTGATGTAGTCCATGTAGGGGTTAATGTATGGGTGAGGGGTGCTGAAGGGAGACTCTGATGTTGCAGCAGGATTTCGGTGCGGGGAAATTCTAAGGAATGGAAGCTCTGAGTATGTTGGGCTACTAGATAAGGCAGAAGGCCTGGAAGAAACAAAAGGAAGAAAAACAAAACCAGCCAGGTTATCTATACAATAAAAAAAAAATACTATAAAGGTAACACACTTGTTTCTTGAAGAGTAACAACTAGGTTGCACATGTACTGAAGTCAACTGCCTGGAAAGAAAAAGGATGGGAAATTAATTCTTCTCTGTCCCCATTATTAGTAACATTTCTCCGACAAATTTTAACGTGATTTTATATTTGGTTTAATCTCTACACCCCTCAATACCCTTTCCCCAAAGAGTTAAGGAGAAAATCACTTCAATTAGTTCAAAATAAGTACACTATATTACATAGTGATTCTTACTGCAATATGAAATTCATACTGAGATTCAGAATGATTTATACCTTCAAAACCATGTGGCTACTGAAAAAGGAGTTTTGAGAGCCACACTGCACCCATTCCCATCATATGCCAGCTTACTCTTTCTGAGAGTGCAAGATAGCATGTTTATACAAAAAACGCTTCAGGAGTCCCAAACTTTGTAAGCCATTAAGACAGATGGGTCCTTTGGAGCATTTTTTTTTTGTTGCTGTCCCTTCCCATGAAAAATTCACAAAACTTGGTGGCAGAGGAAGAAAGATTGCCGTGTATGTGTGTTTTTAGTATGGCACAGTGACCAATGTGTTTTAACAAGACCCCATTAATTAACTACATCATTTTTGTGAAGGGAAAGCTTGGTGCCCCCTCATGCTATGTGTTATGAACCAAGGCTGAAAGCTGAGTTTACAGCTGACAAAAGATAAATAACCCTCCACAACCCTCCCCATCATCCCACCCTGTCGATACAACAGTGTCTGGGCTCTGCTTGGAGACTTTTCTCTCACAGCATCCCATCACCAAAGGCACTGGAAAAAGTTCAAATTTCATCAGAAGGGGTTGGAGTGCCTGCCCTTGCCAACCTGCTCTTTGGCAAAAGACAATGATTAAGCCTGTCATGCATTTTCTGTAGTCCAACTGGCTGACCCAAACTAAATGCCTTTTTGTCCCTGTTTTTCCAATTAATTTAGCATATATACAGCACAGACACAGGCAGCAGCTGTGAGAGCAGTGAGGGCAGCCTGTTCATTTGATGCTGTTGGCTTACAAAGAGTAATGAAACAAGAAATGTATTTTTTCCCCTTTAACATACACATATCATGATCAATGGAGGTAGTTGTCATCACCTAAAAGGCCAACAGAACTTAATCTTACATAGGAGCCAATTCTGCCCTGCCATCAGCTCGGAAATGCTAGCATATGAGTGGGACAGTGATCAAAGTCATGAATTCCTAACATGACGCCAGTTTCCCTGCCACTAAATCCATGAGGGCTTGTAAAATCTGAGGAATGAAGACTTCTCCTGATGTGTTTTTCTCCCTCTTTTCCCTTCCCTATTTGACCTTTTTTGTGTTTCTTGCCCTCCAACAGCTTTCTGCAAAGTAAGCCTGTTCAGCCTTCCTGTATGAAAATACCTCCTCCTAAAGCTTTTTAGAGATCTGCATTTTGTGCTAGCAGCAGGTACCAACAGTGCAGTTACTCCTCTGGCACCCAAGAAAGCGACCCACATAAAGCTAAGCCACTCACTAGCATGCCTTCACCATATTTGAAATACACTGAGAACTTGAAACCAGAAGCCAGCCACTTTCCACCACTGTGCAAACCAGACATCTCCTTTCCTCAAAGAACTTTTTGTCTGCATGGTTCTAAAGTACCTTTGTTTCACAGTGGAAGTGCATCTTTTATCTTGGTACTATGGAACCCCATCAGACATGAAATATTCGTTGTCTCCTGATTCCCTATGAGGCCAAGTTTGGTGGGCAAGACGCTTTAAAAATCATGGTCATGTAGGAAGCAAAAGTACTACAGCTGGGTACCACATTACAGAGTGAATTTCCTATCCTGGCAGTGAGGAAAATACAGTAGTACAGCAAATCTAATACAAGAGTAACAAAGAAACTAAGTTCAGATGTCATTTTACAAGTGATTCTTTTTAAATATGATCCCAACTCACAGTTAGAAACACGAAGAGCACGCAGGCAGGCTGGGACCCTAGCCTTATCTGGTGCATACTGAACAGAAAACTCTTTAAATGCTTATGCAAGAAGGCTGAAAGTCTGTATCAGCCTCAGTGATTCACTCTCCAGCTGGCCAACAGCCAAATGCTGCCGCAGGAGCAAGATTAAGAGCCAGGCTGTCAGCTTCTCCCTCCAGATCCAACAAGAGCCATTCAAGGACACCAGGACTCAGCCGCTCTTCTCCTCAGCCCTGCCTCTTTCTCCTCTTCTGAGCTCCTCAGTTTTCCTAGGAGTCGATGCAAAGGACACTGACCTGGGCAACATCAGCCAACAGCAGGCATATAAACAGTATTATCTGAGGCAGAAATAAGGAGTCATCAGATTCCACAAAGAATTCCCAGCTGTGTACTCTGATGTTTCCTAATTTCACTCAAGCATCTGATTTTAACATGCTGCTAACTACTGTGCTCACTTTCAGTCTCGACTTCCCTCACTACTCTGTGTTCCCAGATCCTCCTTTCCCTACATACCCATTTTCCCTCATGCCCTCTTCATCTGCTCTTAGTCCCACAATTTGAGTCATCCTGATTTATCCCAATAAATGTCACATATCCTTCCTTTCCCTCTGTGATTAAATTTCACTGCGAACATCTTCCACAAGTATTAACTCCCTCCTTCAAACTAAAATGCAGCTTTTAGAAAGGGCGCTGCCTAACACCCTTACTGTTGCTTTGCAGCCTAATTGTGCACCAATAAGGAATGACTTCTGTCCTGTAAACAGCAAACACTACAGCCCAGGAGTGGCTCTGCAGATGCTCATTCAGTGACAAACCAAATCTCCAGATGTGAGTGGTAGTCCATCCCTATCATTTTTATTTCACATGTATAGAATAATGTAATGGTTTGGATTGGAAGGTACCTTTACCAGTCATCTAGTCCAATCCTGCTGTCATGAGCTGGGAAAGAAGCTGGGGACCCTCCTTCAGACTCAGGACCCTTGAGCCCAGCATCTTGAAACCTAGCCGTGCATCCTTTGGAATGGTGTTCTGCCTTGGGTCTGAGGCTACTCCACAGGATGCAATGAGGCTTCAGCATGAGAAGAGGCAGGGAGATTTCCAGTGATACTGCTTGATAGTCTATGCCTCACCTCTAAACCATGGGAAGGCAGAACTTGCCCTGCATATTCTCCTGTGCAGAGGTTCTTCTGTTATACAACATATCCAGACTACTTAAGGGAGGGAGCAAAGCAGATATATGCTCTTTTCTGAATCAGGACCTCTGTGTCTACTTCTAGAGACCTTGCAAACTGAATTCAAATTTGATACAAAGCTGATCACAGTTTCAAGACACAATTGAAAGTCTCCATGTTTGTGGGTAAAAGAGATCCTGTGGCTGTGTTTCACCCCTGATTTTTATCCTGGCACATTAGGATGATTTTATTATTTTCTCAGGAACCTTGATTATATCTACAACTCTGATGTAAATGAGAAGGAACAGAGAACAGGGCTAGCTGTGAAGGCATCTCCTTCTTTCTGTCTAGAAGGCCTTCCTGTTCACTGCTAAGGTGCTGAAATACCCTGAGTGCCACCCAGCTTCCATAACTAACACAGGACTTCCCACTCCCCCCACCCATATCCAGCCTGCCAGCTTCTTCCTGTCCCAACTCTGATGCTCTGGGGAATCTCAACTCCTCAGCTCACAAATGGCACACACATGCTGAGGCAGGGAGATCAACATAAGGGCAAACAGGTGTATTTTTTCCTATTAGTCGTGACACTATTTTGATGAATTGTTGCAGAGGTGTCTGCACAGTCTTAAAAGCTTACATAGTCACACCAGTACAGCAGCTGTGAACAGCATCAGTTGTAGGGCAAATCACAGTATGTGTGAAGCTGCTTTTTAAAAAAAATGGGTTCTCTTCTGACCACTACTGAACCACAGGTGAGCTATCTGTAGGATTTCAGTTATTACTCATGAAAACGGTGTGTCACTTTGTTTTGTTGCAATAGATGAACTCTGCACAAGAAGACTAGCAGCAGGGCTGGATTTTAACAACCACAAAAACTGAATCAAATGAAACTCCCTTTTCAGCCCATACAGCCCTTTTTTTCACTGGTGAAGGAAGATCACGGGAATCTGAGAGTTGATGAGGCAAGCATGAGCAAGTTATACGTATTTCAAAATGATCTGCATGCACAGATCATTACTTAGGTATCATCTCAAAAGGATCACACATTCTTTCCATCAGCAGAAAAAAAATGAGATACAGGGACTCCTACCACATACTTTAGGCTGCTTTTTGAACTTAAGCATTAGCCAGTTTTACAAAGAGAAAGATGGGATTGCCCAAATTCGTATCCTATCCCTTTCTTTGGTACTAATGGAACAGCTAACTTGAGGTGAAATATTGCTGTCTGGCTATGACTAGAGGAGAAAGTTCCTGGGCAGGTGAGCCAGCACAGAGCTTGTTGACTGTGGGTCCTTTCAACCACCCTCTCAGTGCTCTACTGATGGGATTAGAGGATCAGCCCAAAGTCCATGAAACTATCTTATGTGGATTCATGCCCATAACTGAGTTAGGAATTGAGGAGGAGGGGACAGAAAGAAAAGAGACCCAGTTCAGGGTGCTGGGCAGCAGCAAAGGCCAGCTGCTCCCTAAGAAAAGGCAAGCCAGGAGCCAATCACAGGCAATGCACTCCACGCCACCAGATCTGAGTGACCAGAGCCAGGTGCTAACACAATCAATCAGCAATCTGAGACGAGGCAAAGTGACAAATCAGGTCTGGGTTGGGCCAGTCAAGTGCAGTAGGTGACAGGGACAAAGACAGGTCAAAGACAAGCTACACCATGGTTCTGAGGGCTCTATGCAGAACAGCTCCACACAGTGCAGATCCTGAGCTCAGCCAGGAGCAGGACCAGAAATTTGCACTACTTATACCACAGGTCAGGCAGCTCAGCTAAAAAGGAGTTCCTGGATGCATGAG